ACACTTGGTTATTTTTTCTTGATTCATTGAAGAGATGAGGTCTTGCCAAGTTGCCCAGACTGGTCTCAAACCCATGGGATCAGTCAATCTTTTCACTTCATCCTCCCAAAGTGCTGGGATTATAGATGTAAGCCACTTCCCGACTGGAATTTGCATTTCTAAGTAACAAAATGTAAATTCCAGGAAAGCACTTGAGTAGCCTGGTTCAGATCACATGTCCACTCCTGGGTTCAATCATGGTAGTCATAGGAATATAACACACATCACAGGCAAGCCCTTGGAGTATGCATTTTTGGGGGGGTGGAAGGAGTAGGAGGTGGAATCTGTTATTGAAAAGGAGGAGTGAAGGAGATTTTGGGAAAGAAATATGTATAGCAAGAAGCAATGATATCCACCACAGATTATCTGGCCGAGAATCTCTAACATCTGCCTCAAATTTTGCATCACTGGTCTTTACTCTAGAACTTTCTTCTGGAAATAACAATATTTTTATTTCACTCTAATATTACATGCATAATTTCAATAATAATTTATGAAATGCATTCAATTTATAAAAGTTTCAAGGGAGATAACTTAGAGATCTCATATTATCTAAAATATGAGCAGAAGATAGTCAACCTATCACACAAATATATGTCTCAAAGAAAAAATGTAAACATCCTCTGAGTATAGGCCTTGAAATCAAGAAAAACAGCCACAATGCAGATCCTTCCAGGGGTGACCCAGAAGATGGTTAACTATGATTACCTGACACTGATAGCAGCAGGCCCGCTAGGGTGAGATGTATAGGAATAGGGTTATCACTTACACACTCAGCAGCAACTTAGTTGAGTGTCTTTCTGGTTGAGGAAAAAAGTACAACAGTCTTGAAAATATATTTCAGAAGCTTTTAAAAAAAATTATTGGCAGCTACAAATGAGAGAAAGTTGCATTTGACTAGCTAAAGGTCATATACATTAAAAATATTGGAACCTCTGATTTACCAACACTTTAACAATCTACCAAATTCAGCAAAACCAGAATGTTCAAATGAAGCACTGGAGCAGGAGGAAGGAGTGAGTTGGGGTATGAGATGCAGCATGTAAGACAGAGGGAAAGAAAATATGTACATTTAAACTTGCTGCATTGGAGCAAATACTTCCCATGTCACATATATCTTTGAAGCTGGGTAGTACCGTATTCTGTACTAAATGTATTTTATGGGGATTTAGAGAGGATTTAGGTAAAGGCTGCCCCAATAAATGATTTACCAGCTCTAATAAAACATCAAGGAAATTGTTCAGATTGTATCTCAGACCATTTAAAACAGAAGTTTATAGAGGTTTCAGGAGCCCCTATATCCTCAACCCTGGTTTAAGATGAAATGTGTATAGTGGTTAATTATCCCATATTACCCCTCTTTTTCTTTTAATGGCAGCAGTTTCAAGAGAAAGAAGAGATTGGAAGTTAATAAATAGATATGACAGCCACAGGGGTTTGGAGAAAGAGAGAAGGGATTCTGTATTCATCCCTCTAGTCACTTGTTCAGTAAGTATTTACCGATCATATTATTTTCAGGTACTCTAGGGTGAGGGCCTGAAGACCCAGGAGTCACCAGGTCAGGGGATTTCCTGCCTGCAGTTTCTATTTAGAGAGAAGAAACAGGAATGAGCAAGTAAACAAAATAAATATGAAAGATTAGTTTAAGTTGTGGTGAAGAACTTTAAAGGAAACAAAGTGATGAGAAAGTAAGTAGCCCGAGTAGAGAGGGATCCTACTTTGTGTAGCACCGTCAAGAAAGGCCTCTCTGGGGGGGTAAAATTGATGCAATATGTATAGTCAACCACACCACTAAGAACTAGGAGAACATTCCAGATAAATGAAGCATTAAGTGGCCAGGCTCTGACATCATAAAGTGCTCAGTGTGTTTGCAGAACAGAAAGGAAAGCAGATGTAGAAAGTGAGAAGTCATTTCAGAGTGACCTATGCTTTGTAATGTAACCTTGGAAAAAGACATTATATCGAAATGTGTTATTATGATGTTAATAATAGTAGTTGCCTTTATTAAAAACTTATAGACTCTGGTCATTGTACAGAATATCTCCTGTACATCAACTCTCAATTTCATAATAACCATCAATTTCCACAATATAGGAGTTATTGTGGTTTGACACAAGAGAAAGTCTCACGGAGTTCAGACAAATGGTTCAAGATGACACAGCAGTGACTGAACTGGAGTTCATACTCAGGCCCATCTATCTATAAAAGCCTACACTTTTTTTTTTAACTTGTTTTGTTCAACAAATATTAGTTGAACCCTATGCTAGGAACCCACACAGAAATGAATGAAGCAAAACGTGACAGATTGTGTTCCCCAAAATACAATATGTTCTATCCCAACATGCTCTTTAACAACGTTTCCTTTCCACTCCCATATCAAGAGGTGGAATCTGGCTGACCTTGTGATGTCTTTTAAGCGAAAGAGTAGCTTTCCACGATGTGTCCTGTCTGAATTCCTAACCCTCAGAATTTTGAGCAAATAAAGTGGCTATTTCATGACACTAAGCCTTCAGTGATTCAGTACGCAGCAATAGATGGCCAAATGCATAAGGAGTCCAGCCTGGTGAGGGAGACAAGCATACATATACACATACCTTAAAAATAATGTGTCATTGTGTTTATTATAGCATTATTCACAACAGCAAAGAAATGGCACCTATGCAAGTGTCAAGCAGTGGATAAATTGATTAAAATAACATGGCATATGTACTGAAATAAGCCAGGCACAGAAAGACAAATCCTTCATGATCTCATTTGCATGTGAAGCAGAGTAAAACAGTGATTTTCAGAGGTTGAGGAATGGGGAGGTTGGGACACTGTTGATCAAAAATACAGAATTTCAGCTAGACAGGAGGATTAAGTTCAAAGGCTCTGTTGTACAGCATGGTGACTACAGTTAACAACAACATATTGTATACTGAAAAAGTGCTAAGAGAGTAGGTTCTAAGTGTTCTCACCAGAAAAAGATAACTACGGGAGGTAACGCATATGTCAAATAGTTTGGATTTAGCCATTGTACGATGTGTACATATACTGAAACATCATGGTACACACCACAAATATATACAGTTTTTACTTGTCAATTAAAATATAAATAATTTTTAAAATATAAAATTAATATGAGCGATGTCATGAGAAAGCAACAGAGAGCTTCTAAGTCAGCGCAGAACAGGGCACATGTTTTGGGGAAAGAGCCAGATAATAAGTCTATTAGGCTTTCTGGGCCATACTGACTTTGGAACAAGGACTCAGTTCTGCCATTGTAGGGGAAAACAACCAAAGGCAATAGGAAACCAAATGGATATGTCTGAGTTCCTGTTAAACTTTGTTTACAAACATAGAAGGAGGACAGTACTTGGTCCTAGGATCTGTAGCTGCCGGTCGTGAGCTGTGACTTGGAGCATCATGGGAAGCTACTGAAGAAGTAATACCTGGCCTCAGCATCTTAAGGGATCAAACAGGAACTGAAGCTCTGAGACCTTTGGAAACCTTTCAGTCTTTTAACTCAATGAATAAAGTGATATTGACATTGTGCCACTGCATACTCTGTACTCTGAAGGTTATTCCTGAAGGAGAACAGGAGTTTTCAGAGAAAGTCAGGAAAACAGGGAAACGGAGGAATCTGGAGCCTCGAAACTTAGTGGGACTTTTTGTCCTGTCCTGGTCAATCTCAAATAGAAAGCAAGAACTTAGCACATGGCCCAACAGAAGCTCCAGATCTCTTCTCTACACACCATAGGAAGTGCCTGGTGCTTCTGATCTAGCAGTTATTTTAATGAATTAAATCGAATGTTTTCATGTCACCCTCCCCTTAGAGATTATCACACACTCAGAGTTTCTGCAGAACAGGGAGCATGTCTTTTTCTTTGTTGAATATAGCTTCTCTTGTTTACATTTTTTTCTTTCGAGAAAAGGCATACATGTTTTTTGTCTTCTGGGCTCTTTGTCTCCTCTCTCCACCTGATGCTTCTTAGGCATCTTAATCCAAAAAACTCTCTCTTTAACCTGGTGAACACACGCCAGCTGCTCAGGTAAGTATTGGTCAAAGCATTTAGAGCACTAAGTGAAGACCAGTAGGAGTTGTAAAAAAAAGTGACTGGGCAAAGGAGATTTGAAATGATACCATGTTTTCCAGATGGAGGTTCCAGAAAGGAAGAATAAGAGCCAACATTTTGAGAACCAAGTCACAGGGCAGATAAAAGCCCAGTGGGAAAAACATTCCAGGAATAGATCTGGGGATGGACAGGGAACAGTGGGTAGGGATGGATGACTTTGACTAGCTACTATTGCTGCTTCTTTCCTAGGTCACTCCCTGTCATCATATAGCCACTGTCGTCCTCCCCATCACTATTGATGGACACCACCATTACAGAATCCAATACGCCTTACCTCTGAGAGGTTCTGTTTTCCACTCTTGCACATTTTTTTTCTTGCTTGTAATATGTGCTTTCATATAACAGATACACCCATATAAACACCACCAGGTAGAGAAGGCAATAATTATAACATGTTTACATGGTAAGTAAACTAAAGATTCCAGCCTTTATCAACTCTAGCTACTCCCCAATTTCATCTCTCAACTCTGTCCACATCAAATTGAAGCCATTTCCTCACTGCAGTCTTCTCCCCAAGATTTGGCTTAAACTTTTTCTGAGAACGCTTCTCCATTATCCAGCAAATTTGACCATCACCTTCTTCATGTGCACATGTGGCACATTGTGTGATTTTTAAAAATATACTATCACATCACATCTATATTTTTAAATAGCCATAACCCTCATTGGACTATGAACTTTCCCATTTCAGGACACATATCCTATAACCTATAGTAGGCATGCAATCAATACTTATCAAATAAATAAATAATAAAGGAATAGAATGCATAAGGTCTTATTGGAGTCAATTAGTTTAAATTTGAAAAAACAAACACACACACCAAAATAAACAATATAGTCACTCACCAAACTGAATATTGATGTTCCTCCAGCTCTTCCAGGTAAGACATATCCTGTGAATAAACCTCAGCTTCCCCAGTTCTCCAAACAGTTGATTTTTCCTTCACAGAATGATCAGCCAGGCTATCTCCCTTGTCAAAGAAATGGGGGAAAAAATGAAGTAATTTATAAATAGCAGATAGAAGTTCTCATGGCCCCAGTGACATTTTGTCCAGAATGACTTACAGAATCATTGATTCACTAGTCATAGTTTTTGCATTAAAATTATTGTTTAACACTCTAGATTCTCTCACTTAACTCTTATATCCATAACAGCAGAGACCATCGAGTATTCCCTTTTGGATTATCTTTCATGAGACAGCTTCTGTAAATGTTGTTAAAAGGATAAAATAGGTGGTATCTTAGTGTGGTTTTAATTTGCCTTTCTTTGATGACTAGTGAGGCTGACCATTTTTTCATGTATCTGTTGGTGGTCGTATATCTTCCTTCAAGAAATGTCTAGTCATATCTTTTGCCCACTTTGTAATGGGGCTGTTTGTTTTTTTCTTTTCAGCACATTTGAGTTCCTTGTAGATCCTAGATGTTAGCCCTTTGTCAGACATACAGTTGGCAAATATTTCTTCCCAGTATGTGGGCTGTCTCCCTGCTCTCTTGATGGCTTTTTTGGCTTTGCAGAAGCTCATTAGCTTGATGAGGTCCCACTTGTCTATCTTATCTCTTATGGCATGGGCACTTGGGATTTTCATCAGGAATTGGTTGCCAGTTCCAATTTCCATAACGGTGTCTCCTGTATTTCCTAAGGTTCTAACTCCAGTCAGGATGGCCATCATCAATCACTCAAGAAACAATAGGTGCTGGAGAGGATGGGGGGGGGGGGAAGGGAACACTTCTACACGGTTGGTGGGAGTGTAAACTAATACAGCCTCTGTGGAAAACAGTTTGGTGATTCCTAAAAGATCTAAAAATCGACTTTCATATGACCCCACAATCCCACTACTAGGAATATACTCAGAGGAACTCAAATAACTCTATGAAAAAGATACCTGCACATGTATGTTTAATGCAACATTGTTCACAATAGCAAAAACATGGACCCAACTGTGCTGCCCATCGGAAAAGGACTTGGTTTTTAAAATGCAGTGATGGAATATTACATAGCCATAAAGGACAAAATTATAAACTCCACAGCAACTTGCATGGATTTAGAGTCTATAATACTGAGTGATCTATCACAGAAACAAAGAACTGAGCATTACATGTTCTCACTCATAAGTGGACCTTGAACAATTTCCGTAATACTATAAGAAAAGGATTGAGGATTGGCAGTAGTGGGAAAGTGTTGGTGGGAGGAGGGGGCTGGGATTGGCAGTAATGGGAATCTGCTGGGGGTGGGGGGCACACCTCTTCAACAAGGGTACCTGCATAATGAACATTTGTATACCTGGCCCTGAATTGTACCGCACATCTTTAAAATTAAAAAAAAAAAAAGCCGGACTCGGTGGCTCAGCCTGTAATCCCGCGCCTTTGGGAGGCTGAGGTGAATGGATTGCCTGAGCCCGCAGGTTCGAGACCCGCCTGGGCAGCAAGACCTCATCTCTACAATAAATCAAAAAATCAGCCCGGCGTAGTAGCGCGCGCCTGTAATTCCGGCTACTTGGAAGGCTGAGGCGGAAGGATCGCCGGAGCCCAGCAGGTCGAGGCTGCAGTGGCCGGAAGCGGCCACTGCACTCCAGTCTGGGGGACAGTGAGACTCCAACTCAAATAAATAAATAAATAAATGAAAATAAAATAAAATAAAAAAGAATGATAAAATAAGCATAACCATGGTCATGGTACTTGTACTGAATCAGAACATTTGAGTGCAAGTAAAAGAAATGGAACTGGAACTAACTCTCAGCTTCAAATGAAGTTTGAACAACCAGTCTATGGAGTAGGCAGAAAGGCAACTGGATTTCAGGAGCACCAGAATCAAGAACTTGAAGGCTACCAGGACTCTTTTTATCTCTGTTGTCTGCTCTGGCAGATCACTTCATTCCAGCCTTGTCACCAATAGTTTCTGAGTCCTCCAGCCTCTGACTCTGAACATCATACATTTAAGCATAGCATTTACATGATGTCTGTGGAGCTAATTCAGCAGAACTTGATAAAATTAGGTGACCCATGACGATGAATGAGGTCCAGAAGACAAACTGAGCCTTGCAGTTCCATCAGTGAATCTTTAGAGCCCAACTACGGTGGGGAGGGAGGAATGGGAACAGCTAAACTAGCAGGGCTCTTCCTTCCTTTTCCACCAAAACAGCTCAACTTTTACCTGTTTTATATATCGGGGTCTCCTGTTAAGATTTTATTACCAAATATTATTGATAAAAAGTAGTCTGAAACCTTTTCTCTAGAGAAGTCAAAAATGAGGCACAACTTGCACTTATAGGATAGTTGTGTTAAAACTCTCCTTTTCTTTAGACTCTTCTCTGCTGTTTTAAATTATCATTTGTAAGAGCCCAGTTAGTTGGAACTCCTTGATAACAGTTCACACAAGTTTTAGACAACTTTGTAGATGAAATATTCTGCAATCACAAAATGTTTTGCTTTGGGTTGGCAGGTTATAGTAACCAGGAAAACCTCAGTGTGAAATTCAGGTGAAGCAGATGTGCCATCAAATCCCTAGTGAACTAAATAGGCTTATTTCTTTCATTATGATATTGATTGATTTGATTATCTTAAGAATAAAAATCAGCTATGACAACCATCAACTTAAAGTACCTTTTTTGTGATCATGTTTACCTTTCTTAGCTCCTATAGCTTCTATACCAATAAAATATTTTTGAGCAGATTACTTAGTACTGATATTTTTAATTGCTTTATTCCCAAGTAAATTAAAGAGTACCAAAATTATTTTAAAAAATTGAAAGTTTTGAATTGCCTCTAATAAAAGTGTTTGGTCGGCATACCCGGCCAGATTGCTGAAAATATGCCTTTGTAGTTATTTAAATTTTAAATCTGATGGCATTTATTTATGAGTGGCTTAGCTACTTTATCCAGTCTCACTTGCTAGAAAGTTGAGATGGCTACTAAGAACTGTACGATAGATTTAGTTTACATGTCAAAGCTCCTGATTTATTAAAGCATGCATTTTTCATAATAGAGTGCACTAAATTGCTTTCTCTTGGGTTAATCTATCAATATCTATACTGTTTCTTTAAACTAAATTCATAATGGAAATGAGATGCAGTATATTTCTTTGTCTTTCACAGCACCTAACGTGGTGATAAGTACACAATAGAGCTTTAGAAACAGTTATTATGGGTCATTTCATAAAGTACTTATAATAACAACATCGGACATCAGCTATAGTTGCTAATTTAAAAAAAAAGTGTGAATTTCAAACATTGCAAACATTTTCTGAACCTTTGTAATTCCTTTAAGGCATATCTAAGTTAATTCCTTCAAAGGGACTGTTTGGAAGGTATAAAATCATGGAAACAAGTTCATCATCAAAGAATTGAGCCAAAAGAGAAACAAAACCACAAAGGAATAAGAGTTTTGATTCCAAAAAGGAGACAAATATGCTGCCGGGAAATTCCCAGGTGAGTACCGGGGTGTGAAAGTCGATTTACATGAAGACACTCCAATAATCTAAACAGTCCACCAAGCACAAATGTATTCCTCAAATATATGCCTGAAAAATAATGCTGTAAGTATGATTTTGTCATTATTTAAAAGATAAAAAGTGAATCATTATAACCATAAGCCTTGTTTATATCCTGTAGCCAAATGATATCATTTTAAAAAAGATTCTTCCAATAGAATGTCTTTAGAAAGAGTAATATCTATACTTTCACAAGAAATTGGTAATGCAAAATTGTTCGAGAACATCACATTTTTATATATTATGTGTATGATTACTCATATTTGGACCCACCGCAGAAATCAAGAGCAAATATTTAAATTTAAATTGCAAAATTTAGAATCTGATTTTCATGTTTGTGGACTAAAAATTGGTTTGTGGATAATGCCATTCAAATACCACATGGGTTTGGAAATAATGAATAAGCACTCTTCTAAACACAACTAAACTGAGGGGCAAAAGGTGTCTCCAGGAGCTTTGAAAATCTAAAACATACAGTGTTATAGAGAAAAGGGTAGTCAGGTGGTGATCAGCAGACACTTCTGAGTCTTCTTACTCCTTTGTGAACTTAGATGTACTTGGATCTATTACTTGAACTGAGGTCCACGAACTGAGGTTTTTTAACTTGAAAAATAGATATAATGTTTGTCCTACAAAGGTAGCAAAACTCTTATAAAGATAAACTCAGATTTATAATTATAGCACATATGATATAATGTATGTATTTATATAATTCTAAGGGAGAGAATTGCACTTAAAATCCTTTAGCATACTAAGAATGTTAGTATCTACTACGATATAATATATAGCATGGGTGATCAATTAAATGCTTAATCCTTTCTTGTGCATTTATGATGTCATTTCTATGCAGCTACCATGCAGAAAATCTTACAAAAACTAAGTCTTAAAGTTATCCAAGTCCATGACATATCAGTTTTGTTTTGTTTTGCTTTGTTTTTTGTTTTTGTTTTTGTTTTTTTGTCAGATGGTAGGCAGCAAAGCTCAGGGTTCCTATATTGTCATTGTCATTCAGAGGTTTTTGCCCCTTTGTCATGATTCCTTCTTCCATGGGCTGATGGGTTCACAGAGACTGGTGAGACTGCAAGTCTGTGTTCAGAGAGAGCTTGCAGTTCCCAGGCAGGGACCCTGGGGCAGTGGAAAAGCACTATGGAGTCAGCACAGTTAAGCTCCACTTAGCAGCAGCACTTCTTCCCTAAACCCCTTATAGGGTTTTTGTGTGGGTCTCTGGGGAGAACTGTTCACCTGCCCATCTGGCCAGATGAAGGACAAGGAGATTGTTTTCATCAAAAGAGAGAGCCTTAGAAAGAGGAAATAGCAAATAAAGGCTGAATCCGGAGGATTACAAATCCTTTTGAACTGCCCTGGGAAGATCAGAAGTGAGCAGCCGTGGGAGTTTTAATGCCTGCCCAAGTGATGCTCACTATTTTTTAGAAGGCAGGGAAGGAAGGTTTGGGGTGAAGACACTCTGCTAAGAGGCTTGTGTTAATAAGATCACAGAGTTGCAAGTCACAGGTAACAACAACAAATACCAGTTGCATCTGAAGTATCAAAGCAAATAAATATGACATCAGGTTCATTTCCATCAGTGCTGTTATTGTCATCCAGCACAAATATTGAAGCTCCAAATGAAATTCAGCCTAAATCCTGAGACCATCCAGTAAGAATAGCGTTTCCCTTTTCTTTAATTCATGTTGAATGTATTTACCAGAGAATTTTACAGACCAATCTCCATGAACTATATCTATAGGAAAACAAGGTATCTTTGGCTATGTAATGCAGTATGTATCTGGAGAGACTCTTCGAGTACCTGACTCCCTCGGGCTTCTGTTTCTGCCCACCGAAGGACTACTAGCGGGCCTGGCCACATTTAGACTGCTGCCTGATCATTTACATTTGAAAACCCGATGCTACACATTTAAAGTTCAACATTAGCCTCATTTTCCCACAGCCACACAATGAATCGCATAGGTTAGAGTCTTTAAAATCAATTGAAAGTCCAAATTAATTCCTGATACACTGAGATGAGAAAATAAAATGCTAAGGATGAAGCCCAGAGTCTCAGATTGAGACTGTTTAATGTCAAGAGGGTGGCTTATTTATGCTTAGAAAGTGGTATAACTTTCCTTATCCACAACACGTGGCCACTTATAACTTGGGTATGTTCTGCCTGTTTCTGAGATGCATTATATCTGTTTCTGAGATATTACTGAGATGTAGGCCCAATGTGCACATGCTGTTTCTGAAAGCCATTCGAAGTTAAGATGGATTCCCAATGTGCCCCACCTTCAGGGAAGAACTTATTCTTCCTAGCAACTGACTTGTAGGTTTTGAAACGTAGTATCAAAAGTAAAATAAAAAAGAGAACTCCTTAATTTAACATGTAAATTCAGAAAATATAGGGAAGAATTTTAGCATTTTAGATACATGTATCCATTCCCACCTTACTGACTTTAGCCTTGCTTCTAATTCCAGAGTTTAAGGTCAACAATTGGTATGAGAATTTTACAAAAATGCTTAAAAGGCTAATAATATTAGATCCATTGTATCCTTGAAATCCCATGGACATAGTATTCCTTTATTTTCCCAAATAGTGCACATAAAAGTAACATACATAATATGTACTAAAGGATGTGAGCTTTGCTTCACACATTTTCTTCCTTTCCTAGAGTATTGTCCCTTGGTTTCCATATCCTAGCCCTTAAATTAAGCGTATAAAAACCAAGAAGTAGAAAATATATACCTGGCTAAGAAGAGAAAGGGATATACAACTTTTTTTTTCTTGATTGATAAAAACATAGATTTGAGAGTCAAATAGTCTGGGTTCAACGCTCACCTATTCACTCATTAACAACGTAATTTTCTCTAACCTGCTTCACCATCTCATGCTTTATTTTTCTCACCTGTATAAATGGGGATAATGATGATACTATCAGTATCTACGCCATGAGTTTGCTGTGAGAATAAGGTGAGTCATTTGATGTAGACTGAGAAGATTTGCCAGCACCTAGTAATTTCCTAATATTCAGTACACATTTCCTTAAACTTTTGATTTCTAAATTTTTTTTCTTAATATAGACAGCAATATAGAAGGTCTGCAATATGGAAAGTCTGCAATATAGAAGCAATCACAACTGTACATGCTATAAGTAGTCATCTGGACATGAAAATTAAATCAGTCATTCATTTGATTAGATGGTAGCCCACAATTTAGAGAGTAAAAATAAAAAACACTGACTTTAAAGTCCTCCTGAAAGGAAGGCATAAAAGTTGACTATATAAACCTATATTTATTTAGTCAGGAAGATAGAAATTTGAGATAAAAATTCTGATGACTTGTATGGAAAGGGGACAGATGGGGAGGGAGCAGCAATCCTTTAACTTCAATTTTCTATCCATGCTCAATTTTCTGAAAACTTAAAACTCAAAATCACTTGGTCTAGGTATATATAGATTTTTGGAAATGGTTAAATATCTAAAAGCTGAATTTATTAGAATCAGTAAAATTAACTTAACCAATGTTTTGGAAATTCAAGCTTCTTAATTTATATAGGTTTGTCACAATAGTTTCTATATAGACTTCATGGCAACCATGATCATGCCAAATAAATCACTAAAACACAGCACAATAAGTACATTTTCTCATCACCCTACCCAAGCTGGAAAGAGTCTTGTAGACTGATTAACTACAGTCTTCAATAGCTTAAAGAAGTCTGATTCCAATGTAATAAAAATTTATTGGCATTGCTGATTTCTCAGACGTCAGCTGCTTTAAAACGTCCAGCACTTCAAAACCTGCTTTGAAGACCAAATTACTTTCTACCTGCAAATACATTTTAAGAAATCATAGTTAATAATCAGGGGCTGCTGTTTTCATGATCTTTCTGAAGCCAACATCTACAGCCTTCATCTTACCTTGGAGTGTAATTCATGGTCTTCTTTTAAGAAGTTGAGATCACAGTCCGTAGGGCAGGGGCCAGTTTTATTAGAAAGGCTCCCTAGGGTTAAAAACAAAAAAGTGGAAAAAATACATGACAGACTTTCACTTCAGAGGGTATATAAGCTTACACTGCTGAAATCTAAGAGCTTATAAAAGGCCTGAGAAATGGAGGCAAAAGATGGATTTCTACAAAGGAGGCTCCAAGCTGTTCTACTTTCCCAGCTTTAACTCTATCAGTGTATGAACTTCAAGTAGAATTCTACGATAGCCATACCACAGGGAGGTGGTTTACAAGCAGCAGCTGTGTCTGATCTGCTTTCCTAACCTCATCTGGATAGGATTCGCTATCATCAGCTATGTTTCTTGGATCACGTTTTCAAAGAAGACCCCGGCACCTCATCTTAATGGTCCACTATGAACCCTTGAGATCAGAGTTTTATTCTCTGCCCACATCCAGCACTTCTCAGCTGAGCTACCTCTTTCATTCATGCCCTGCATGACATGTTCTCTGTCAAGTCTCCAAACCTCAGCACTATTGACATTTTGGACTAGATAATCCTTTGCAATGCAGCTGCCCTGCGCTTTGTGTAGCAGCATCCCTGGCCTCTACCACACTGAATGCTAGCAGCATCCTCTACTTGCTTCCCCTTCCAGTTGTGGCAACCAAAAATGTCTCCAGACATTTCCAAACATCCCTTGGAGGACAAAACATCCCCAGTTGAGAATACAGTTCTAGACGACAAACTCCTTAGAAATAATGTGTCTTGTTCACCTTTGTTTTTCCTGTAGTGTCTAGAACAGTGCCTGACACAGAGTATTTTCTCAACAAGTGTTTCTTAAATGGTAAATCAATAAATACATAGAGATAACACATAAACCGGTATTCCTATGGCTTTATGCCTCTCAAGTCATTGACCTGACCTCTCACTTTAATGAACCCATATGCCATGACCTGTCCCCAGAGTCTTGTGACAAACATCATGGTCAAGAAGCTGCCAGAGCTTGGAGTGCCTCAGGAGAGCCACAACTTTGATGAGGGGATTGACTTGACAGTTTTCTCAAAAAAGAAACATATACCGTGAGGTGAGTAGTCAAAGGCTTGTTTTCTGTCCCCCTTTTTCCTCTCCAGGGATTGAAAGCTGCCATCTCCTACCCTTTGAAATTGTCCTTATGGACATTTTAAAATGAGATTTCAACAGTGTCAAACTTCGAGGACATGGGCTCCATGTCAACATGCTTCAGAAACCTTCTTCTCCCTAAGGATAACCTTGCCAGCACCTTGCTACCCAGGCTGGGTCTGTGTGGAGCATGCAGTTTGGGAAGAAATGTTTTCACTGTGTTTTATGACCCTGCCTTCAGTGTACTACACTATGCTCAAGGCAGACACTAAAAAATATCCTTCTTTAAGGAAAGTCAGATGAGTCAGGCACCCCTTCTCTGATATGCCTGATACTTCCATCTGTTGAGATGAGATCACATAAACCTTTGGAAGAGCTCTTTTACTGTGAGTCTAAAACAAAATGTGTTGAAAGTGAGGTTGTGCCAGGCTCAGTGTCTCAGCCTGTAATCTCGCGCCTTTGGGAGGCTGAGGTGAGTGGATTGCCTGAGCCCGCGGGTTCGAAACCCACGTGGGCAACTTGGCGAGACCTCATCTCTACAATAAATCAAAAATCAGCTGGGTGTGGTAGCGCACGCCTGTAATTCCGGCTACTCCGAAGGCTGAGGCGGAAAGATCGCCAGAGCCCAGCAGGTCGAGGCTGTGGTGGCCGGGAGCGGCCACCGCACTCCAGTCTGGGCAACAGAGTGAGACTCCAACTTAAAAAAAATAGAAAGTGAGGTTGCTATGGTCAAAATTAAAATGAGAAAGGGAAAAGAAGGAAAGTTAGTGTAGAAAGCATTTTTATTTAAAATTCAAATATAATAATTTGAATTGTTAATATACAGTCAGCTGGAATAACAAATATAAAATAATAATAGAAAGCATTTTTTAGTATTTTCTAGAAACTCTATATTATGTCATTTGCTTCACACACACACACACACACACACACGCACACACAAACACAAACTGTTAAAATAGTTACCATTATCCCATTTGACAGAGTTGGAAATTGAGACTCAGATCAAAGAACTCCCCTCAAATCAGATAGTCAATCAGTGACAAATCTGAAATTTAGTCCCAGTTCTATTTGACCTCAAAACCCACACATTTAATTTTCTGGTATATTCTGCTTGAGAAATCACACTCCATTTTCTACTTACATACATTTTTAAACATTGAACAATGTGTTCATTTTTTATTGCTGGTGGAATAAATTACTACAAACTTAGTGGCTTAAAGCAATATATATTTATTATCTCATTTTTTTGTGACTTAGAAATCTGCATAGTATGCCTCAACTGGTTTCTTCACATCAAGTCTCACAAGGCCAAAATCAATGTATCAGTCAGTGCCGCAGTTTTCATCTGGGCCCTGGACTCCTCTTCAGGTTTGCGTTTGTTGGCAGAATTCATTTTCTTCGCACACTTTCCATGTGGTCCCCATGGCCCTCAAGTCAACAGCAGCAAACTGTGTCCTTTTAATGCTTTGAATCTCTCTAACTTATCTTCTGCCACCAGCCTAAGAAAGTTCTCTGCTTTTAAAGGTTCACGAGATTAGTTTAGATTTACCCAGATAATTGCCCTCTTGATGTTTAAAGATTCTGGGGATTCGAGCTTGCACGTCTTTGGGAGACTGTCTTAAAAATCTGCCTGTATGAATAATTTCTGATTTAACAAAAGTTATAGTCTCTTATGCTAGTAAAATGTAAAACTGTTGTGCATGTTAAGGTAATAAAGTCTCTATCAAAGACTCCTAAAAGTCCTTGATTTTTTTTTTTGTTCTTCTGTAATAGGTTCTTTGCCCTAAAACCAACCTTCCTGTTTATAAAAAAATATAGTAACATATTAAACAATTATTAATATGCTATATAGTAATTGTGTTATATATTAAATATATATATTAGATAATTGATATATACAAGTTATATATTAGATGATTATTAATATTTGCTATATAATAATTATAAGATATATAATTATCTGCTATAATTATATGATGTATACAATTATTATACATTATATAAATGTGTATATAATATAATTTTTACCAAACTGTGATCATATCATATATGTAGTGTCCCTCTCTCTTTATGTTTAACCGTGTTGTGTTTTACTCATTATTGTATATATCCCAGAGTATAATTTTTTAATCACTGCATAGTAGCACACCATATGGTTTCTTTTAGCCGGCCTTCTTTGGCTAAATATTTATATCATGTTCATCAAATTTTACAAAAATGTTGATGTCCATCCGTGCTTCTTTTCTTTTCTTTTCTTTTCATTTTTGAGTTGGAGTCTCACTCTGTCGCCCAGACTGGAGTGCAGTGGCCGCTCCCGGCCACCGCAGCCTCAACCTGCTGGGCTCCGGCGAACCCTCCGCCTCAGCCTTCCGAGTAGCTGGAACTACATGCGCAAGCTACCACGCCCGGCTATGTGCTTATTTTCTTAAAATGAGTATCTAAGATCAGGAATACTAACTCAAATGCTTAGAATTTTTGACTTTGTACTATAAAAAGAATTATCAAAATTCATACTGCAACCAGCAGAATGGGAAAGCATCCAATTATGTGTATGCTTGCCAAAACTGTTACCATATTTTTCAGTTTTGCCTCCTTAGTAAACAAAATAATAACATTTCATTATTTTAAATTACAATCATGAAAATCTTATGAATTTGAATCGTTTTATTTTGCTGAGCATTTATGCCTTTTGTATTGTAAATTTCCTTCCATGTCCCAATTTTTTTCTGTTAGAATATTTAAAGTTTTATCTGTTTTTTCTCTTAAATATATATCTCTATCTTAAATATAATAACTCTGCCTGACACAATAGTTCAGAATATTTTCTCAATTGCTATATGCCTTTTAATTTCTTTAAGAGTTTGTGTGTGTGTGCGTGTATGCATGAGTGCTAAGATATAATTCTCAGTCTTATGTATTCATATGTATCAATCTTTTCCTTCATTTGTTCTCCTTTTGCTTATAAGCTTACAAAATCTTTCCACACTATACAGTCAAACCATACATAACAAACGGTTAAGTAAGCAAAGAACTCACGGGGTTTTTGCATAACTGTCTTTCATACTTTCTCACTCGCAGGTGACCATCCATGACACCTAGAGTCCTCCTAAAACCTCAGGCTCAAACATGCAAAATGCCATTGACCTTCATTCCACTCAGAGGGCTCCTTTCCCATATTTCCTATTTCTTTTCACAACTATGTAACTCTTCAAGCCACCCAACTCAAAAGCTCACTGTCTTTCACGAATTATCCTACACTGTTGTCACCCACATCTAATTGTTTGCTACATTCTCTTCTACTTCCTTTAGTAGAGTAATGGCAATTTTTCCTTCTGCTGTAACACTGCCTTGAACCTTCACCACATCCCACCTCTGCAGGTATAGACAGATAGGAGGCAGAAGAGGACTTTTAACTGAAATAGAATCATGCCATATATATTTTTTTTGCCAGTTTGCTTTTTTCATTCAATAAGAAATGGTGGTCATCTCTATAGATCACAAAATACGCATCAATCTTTCTCTTAAAATGCCCTTTTTAAAAAAATCCCCATTCATATCTTCCACCCATAGTCCCCTAACTCCTCTCCAATTCATCTAACCCACATAACCCACTTTATTTTCTCCATGCTCATATAACCAGATAACCAGATAGACACACATATGCACATATGGACACACACATTTATAGAGGCACTTTTAATCACTGCACAAAAAGAGAACATATATTTTATATGCAGCCCCACATTTTTTCTCACTCAGTAATCGCTGATGAAATTTTCTTTATACCAAAAATTATATCTCTAATTTATTCTTTTTAATGGCTATGTAATATATTATGCTAAAGTTGTAGTATCATTTATTTAACTATTCCCTACTCGTGAGCATTCACTTTTCTTCTTCCTTTTTGTTTTTCTCTCAAAAAGAATGCTACAATAAA